AAATAAATAAGGAGAGAGAGAAGGGAAAAGGAAAGGGAAAGAAAATATAAAAGGAAAGAAAGAAGAGGAAGAAGGAAAGAGGGAAACGGGGGAAGGGCGAAAGGCTCTTACCTCCCCCCCGCCAAAAAAAAAATAAGAAAGAGAGAGAGAGAGAGAAGGGAAAGGGAAAGAAAGAAGAGGAATAAGAGGGAAACAGGGGAAGGGCGAAGGGCTCTTGCCTCCTCCCCCGCCAAAAATAAATAAGAGAGAGAAGGGAAAGGGAAAGAAAATATAAAAGGAAAGAAAGAAGAGGAATAAGAAGGAAAGAGGGAAACGGGGGAAGGGCGAAGGGCGAAGGGCTCTTGCCTCCTCCCTCCCCACCCCCGCCAAAAAAATAAATAAGAGATAGAGAGAGAAGGGAAAGGGAAAGGGAAAGAGAAGATAAAAGGAAAGAAAGAAGAGGAAGAAGAAGAAGAAAAGAGGGAAACGGGGGCGAAGGGCTCTTGCATCCCCCCGCCCAAAAAATAAATAAGAGAGAGAGAGAGAGAGAAGGGAAAGGGAAAGAGAATAAAAAAGGAAAGGAAGAAGAATAAGAAGAAAAGAGGGGCTCTTGCCTCCTCCCCCCCTCCCGCGCCAACAAATAAATAGGAGAGAGAGAGAGAGAGAGAGAGAAGGGAAAGGGAAAGGGAAAGAAAATATAAAAGGAAAGAAAGAAGAAGAAGACGGAAAGAGGGAAACGGGGGAAGGGCGAAAGGCTCTTACCTCCCCCTCCCCCCTCCCGCCATAAAGGGAAAGACAAGGGAGAGGGAAAGAAAATATAAAAGGAAAGAAAGAAGAGGAAAAAGAATAAGAAAAGAGGGAAACAGGGGCGAAGGGCTCTTGCCTCCTTTCTTTTCTTTCTTTTCCTTTCTTTCCTATTCTCCCTCTTTTTCGTTTTTCTCTTTCTTTCTTCTCTTTCCCTTTCCTTCTCTCTCTCTCTCTCTGATTTATTTTTTGGCGGGGGGGGGGGGGGGGGGGGGGGGGGGGGGGCAAGAGTCCTTCGCCCTTCCCCCGTTTTCCTTTTTTCTTCTTCTTCCTCTTCTTTCTTTCCTTTTATCTTCTCTTTCCCTTTCCCTTTCCCTTCTCTCTCTCTGATTTATTTTTTGGCGGGGAGGGGGGGGGGGGAGTGAGGAGGAGGCAAGAGCCCTTCGCCCCCCCCCGTTTCCCTCTTTTCTTCTTATTATTCTTTCTTTCCTTTTATCTTCTCTTTCCCTTTCCCTTTTTTCCTTCTCTCTGTCTCCCCCAGCTAGGGCTGGTTTTGTTTACGAAGCGCCCGTCAGGAGAGTACACGATAGAGTATACGATAGAGTACACGATAAAATTGACGATATCGTGAACTTTATATCGTGAACTTTTCACGATAAAATTCACGATATCGTCAATTTCATCGTGAAAAGTTCACGATAAAGTTCACGATATCGTCAATTTCGTGAATTTCTTCGTGAAAAATATGCGATAAAATTGACGATATCGTGAATTTTATCGCATATTTTTCACGATTTAGTCTATTCGCGATGTCCCTTCAGGGCCACCATACAAATTAGATCTTACGACTTTCCAACTTTCTACTAAGTGGGGAGACCTAGAGTGTGAACGAGAAGATGGTGAAACCCTGTTCTGTCGTATCAGTACGTCAGAGACAGTCACCATCCCTGTAGGACATGAAGTTCTGATTAGAGGAACCGTGAAAGATAGAATGAAACCAAATAGACTAGGCATTGTAGAGATGGATAACGCCCAAAACCATCTAACCAAAAGTGGTTTAATTGTGGCTAGAACTTTGGTGAGAACAGGGAGTGAAGAAATTCCCGTCAGAATTTTCAATCCATCACCGTCAAACAAGTTGATTCGGAAAAACACCCACCTTGGTACAGTAACAATTGTAGAAGAAAGTGAAGTTGAAACAACACCGAAGTACACAAGGTCAAACCTAGACAAAGTACCCGAACACTTACGAGACCTATTAGAGAGAAGCACAAAAGAACTTCCTGAACAGTACCATGAGGACATAGCAAGTTTGCTAATAGAATTTCAAGACGCCTTCTCAAAAGGAGACAATGATATTGGGAGAACAAATCTTGTTGAGCATTCCATTAATACGGGAACGCAGCATCCCATTAGACAAAGACCCAGAAAGCATCCTTTAGGACAAAGAACGGAAATCAAAGAACAAGTAACAGAACTATTAGACAAAGGACTAATAGAACCTACAGATAGTCCTTGGGCCTCTAACATAGTTCTCGTAAGAAAGAAGGACAGTACACAGAGAGTTTGTATAGACTATCGATTACTTAATGTGGCAACAATCAAAGACGCGTATCCTTTACCGCGCATCGACGAGACACTTGATGCTCTATCAGGTGCTCGTTGGTTCTCCACACTAGACTTAGCCAGCGGCTATTGGCAAGTTGGACTTGACACTGACGCGAGAGAAAAATCATCTTTCTTAGCGGGCGGGGGACTCTACGCTTGGAACGTTATGCCCTTCGGATTATGTAACGCCCCCGCCACTTTCGAACGGTTAATGGACAAAGTACTCTCAGGATTACACTGGGAAACTCTTCTGGTGTACTTAGATGACGTTATCGTTTTTGGTAGTTCGGTACCCGAAGACCTTGCTAGACTAAAACAAGTGTTTCACAGACTTAGACAAGCGAATCTAAAACTTTAACCTAAGAAGTGTCACTTGTTCAAAACAAAAGTATCCTATCTTGGACATGAAGTGTCTGACATGGGAATATCGACTCAGACAGAGAAAACCGAGGCTATAAAGAACTGGCCTACACCGACAAATGTGAAAGAGGTGAGAAGCTTTCTCGGACTAGCTTCATACTATAGACGTTTTGTTAAAGATTTCGGATCTATTGCGAAACCACTTCATCAATTAACTGAGAAGCACATTTGCACAAAATGCATTTGATGAACTTAAACATAGATTAACGTCTGCCCCGATTTTGGCATATCCTTGTGCGGAAGGTGAATTTATCCTCGACACTGATGCTAGTAACGACGGTATCGGTGGGGTATTATCACAAATCCAAGACGGACGTGAACGGGTAATAGCTTACGGAAGCAAAGTCCTTAGCAAATCAGAGAGAAATTACTGCGTAACTCGGAGAGAACTATTGGCAGTAGTAACTTACTTGAAACACTTCAAACAGTACCTATATGGTCGGCATGTTATTGTAAGAACAGACCATGGAGCCTTAAGATGGCTCACCAACTTCAAACAACCGGAAGGTCAACTCGCGCGTTGGCTGGAAGTAGTATGTGCGTATGATATTGAAATAATACATAGAGCTGGTAGAAGCCATGCAAATGCAGATGCACTTTCGCGACGACCTTGTAAACAATGTGGTAGAGAAACTGAATGTGAAACAGAACTTGCGAGAACTGATATCGGTCGAACTTGTGTTATTGAATTGACAGACACAAATAACAATGTTGAGATTAGAAAGGCTCAACTCGAAGACCCGAATATCAAACCGGTGATAGAAGCACTTGAACGAGGTACGAAACCTACAAAGGAGGAAATGTCACCTCTGTCGTACAAAACGAAAGTGTTATTAGGACACTGGGAACAGTTAGAGATTCATGACGGTGTTCTTTTCCGAAGATGGGAATCGGAGAACGGTAGAACTATTAGGAAGCGACAAGTATTGCCAAAGCAGAAAATTTGTGATGTATTAGAAGAACTGCACTCGGGTGCATTTGGTGGACATTTGGGATCCACCAGAACTTTGAAGAACGCTCAGATGCGTTATTATTGGGTAGGAATGAAGGCGGATATCAGATCTTTCATCCGTGAATGTTTGGCATGTAAGAGAAGAAAGTCGCACGGTCGAAAACAGAGAGCTCCTTTGCAGCAAAGACGTTCAGGTAGTCCAATGGAACGAATTGCACTTGATATTCTAGGACCACTTCCCACCACTGAAGATGGTAACAAGTACATTTTGGTAATAGCAGATTATTACACAAAGTTTGTAGAGGCCTATGCCATTCGTGATGAAAAAGCCCATACTGTGGCTCGGAAATTGGTAGAAGAATTTGTTTGTCGTTACGGTGTACCAAAAGAAATACATTCTGATCAAGGTCGAAACTTTGAATCAAACCTTTTCAAGGAGGTTTGTAAGATTCTAGGTGTAAAGAAAACAAGAACAACTGCTTACAATCCCAAGTCGGATGGGATGGTAGAACGCTTTAACAGAACTTTGGTAAACATGTTAGTAACTATGATTGATCCTGACAAACACCAGCAAGACTGGGATAGATATATTCCTTTTGCTACCGCCGCGTACAGAAGCACCGTACACGAAACAATACAGGAAACACCAAACATGATGATGTTTGGCCGAGAAGTTACCCATCCTGTAGACCTTTCGCTTGAGCAAGCAACTTCAGAACTAAACACTGATTATGCTCAGGATCTACGAAACAGAATGGATAGTATGTACTCGAGGGTAACAGAACAAAGTGACAAAAACTTGAGACGACAAAAGCGAAACTATGATAGGCACACAAATGACGAAACGTTCACTGTAGGTCAATTTGTTTGGCTTCGCCATGACCAAAGGAAGAAAGGTATAAGTCCAAAACTAACAAACCGATGGGATGGACCTTTTCGAGTAATAACCAAATTATCCAATGTAACTTATCGCATTCAGCGAACACCCAGAACACCCCAGAAGATCGTTCACTACGATCGTCTGAAACTATATGAAGGGCCAGAACTCGACGCTTGGAAGAAACCAAAAACACAAAGAACCATCATATGTGATGTCGAGGAGACACTCAACAATCACGACGGAACTTGTAACAATAACAAGGACAACAATACTAACACCACCGAACTTGACAGACGTTATCCCCAAAGAAATAGACGTCCGCCTACTTATTTTTACTAATGAAACTATGATCATTTCTAATTTCGGCACATGAAGTAATAAATATATTTCGATATTATCACAACTAGACTCATCACCATGGTCTTCAAGTGCCGAACATGTAGATACCAGAACAGCAACAAGGAGGTTGTAAGACGTCACGAGAAAGCCAGACATGATGTCAGCCTGAGTAAGCCTAGAGATAGAAGCCGTTCCCCTATCCGTACCTCCTCTAACAATACCAAATCAGCCTTTAGCCCGTATCGAAGACGTCTCACTACCCCAGATTTTACCATTCGACGCCCCACTCGCCCTATCCTCCCTGGACTTCACCGAGCCCGCCCACTTCCTTCCTTGACCCCTACCCCATCTTTGATCTCCCCAATTAAGGACACCATCCCGATGGACATTGATGACTGTAACACACGTGCACCTTCCCCGGAAAACCAACCACCAACTTCCCCTCTCCCGGAAACTCCGTCCCTGACCAAAGACACTCAACAACCACCAGCTTCCCCTCTCTCAGAAACTCCGTCCCTGGCCGAAGGCACTCAACCACCACCTCTCCCAGAAACTCCGTCCCTGGCCGAAGACACTCAACCACCACCAGCTTCCCCTCTCCCAGAAATCCAACCCCATCATGATGACGACGGAATCAGTATTAACGCAAACCCAGTAGACGGATGGTACGAATATACCAAAGACACCGAAACTCAAACATCAGACCCCGAGGACCACATCGCAAAATTAATGGACAGGTGCCGCATTTCTCTAAAACAAAACCCAGACTCATCACGAACCGAGGCCTGCTGCGAAACTCAGAGCTACTTTCATACGCTTAATAGTAGGGAAAGTGTTGCCCGGGTCATCGAGACTCTCCACCTTCCCGGAGGAGGGTTTTATACAAGATTCGAATATAAAGTTCGCAAGTTTTAAGCATCCTCTACCCTATCTTTCCTCTTCTTATCTTCCTATCAACTTCTTAATCTTTTTCTATCTCTATCCCTACTTCTTATAAATGACAAACTTTGTAACGCCACTGATAAGTATATATGATTATTGTGTGTATATAAGTCAATTGAGCATTACTTTGATAAAGACTTCATGGGGAGGCCAAATTACACAGTTAATAAGATAATTTTTTTGAGATGAATTTCAACCGAAGAATATATACGTCAAATTTTGGCAGGACAAGAGATGTTATTTGAGTAAATAAATAATCGATTAATAGACATAATGTATATGCGTTAAGGTGATTGATTGATGTTGTTGATGATGATAGGACGTTCCTATCGGGTGATGGATTAAGTACATGAGAGTTATAGTGTTTGAAGGAGATTAACGGAAGTTTTACTAAAGAGCATCTCTTATATCTGCCAAATAGACTGCCATTTTAAGAAATTGAGATTGCAATTGTATATTGTTGGTTTGAGAAATTAAACCTCAGATGTTGATGATTTAAATGCATGTTTTTATATGAAGTCATTATTACGGTGATATTGAATTATGTATATATGTATATAGCAACAACATGAAATGCGAGGACGCATTTTATGGAGAAGGAGGCTGTGTAACAATCCACCCTCACAATATTATATTTGTAAACTGATTTCCATGCTAGCTGTCATATCTTTTATCTGAAACTTCTAAAACATGCAGCTTGAATCATCCCATCCTTTCTTTTCTCAATCTTGTCTTATTTCTGTCTTTTCTCTTCTGTCTCCCTCTCTCTCTATGCTCTCTCTCTCTCTCTCTCGCTCACTCCGAGATCTTGCATACAGCCAGCCTATTTCTCATCATTCCTTCACATTCTTCATTTATAGGTAAACATTATCTCGATTAACTTTATTCCAGAAGTACCGCTGCGAGTTATAGTCTGGATTGTGTGTGTTTTGTGTATAAATACCTGCTTACAAGCAAAAGTTTCTAGTTTGAAGAAGTCTAGTATGAACGGCTTCACGTATAAACACAACCGGAAGCATACGCGTACGTTGCTTCCGACACACTACTCACTAGATCCAATCTATAAATCGTAGTAATATGCCTACAAATTCATTATTTATGAAATATGTGATTAAGTTGTATATTTATTCAGATAGACAAGCAAATTATCCCTAATATCATATTATTGTCTTAACAATCTCTTGTCAAAAACGTAAGAGAATTCGAATTTTGTACTTCTTTAGTTTATTAACTAGGATCGGAATTCAGGTTGTGCGGTTTACGCGCATTATGTAAATATGACAGTGAATCCCAAATTCATGCTATGAAATATTTGTTTGTTAAATTTCTGCTCTTATTACAAAGGAGAGCTTGAAATATTTATCTTATGCCTTGTATAAAGTTTCAAATAAACGCATTGCAATGTTTCCATTACTTAAGCAGTGTAACGTAATAAAGATTTTGAACTTTATAAGGACCAGTTGAAATGTGTACGCGCGCATCTAACTTTTTGAGCAAAGAACTCGAGAAATCTACCAACAAGCAAAGATAATCCCAATAGTTGATAGATGGACAAGAGGAAACTTAATCATGCTATTCAAGATAATGCATGACTTAACTCCAACGTACTTATCTTCACGAGTTGAATTACGACATAATCCACACAATTTAAGAAATAGCGATCATAAAATTCAGCTTCCAAAGCCTAAGACCGAGTTTTTGAGAAGAAGTTTTTTTTTTATCATAGCTCCAAATTATTCAATTGCCTCTCTGTTGAAACGCGAACCTTAGACACACTGGCTACCTTTGTTCGCACCATTGATTTGAATGAACTCATGTAGACTGAACATTATCTTGCCCTTTTTACAATTTTTACCTTCAATTTGATATTCTATTGGTTATGTTTTAAATAGATATATATATATATATATATATTTTTTTGATTAAATATTTTTTTACAGTTTTTTTTATTGTTGTTTTTTAAAATAGTTTTTTAAATACGATAAATATTATACCCATCCTCTTATTCCTGTCTTGTATTTTTTTTTTCTTCTTATGTTTACCTTGATGTTTTTTGTGTTATGTTAGGGGAGCCTTCCAAAGTTGCGACTGTGCCCGGACGCGTCGGGGCGCGATGAATAGAACAGTCGCGTCCCAAGAGACGCATTGAGGCGCAAAGGGGCGCGAAGGGGCGCAATAGTCACCCTCACCTGATTCTTGCATATGAAAAGAAACCGTCTATTGTTAGTATAAACCCGCTCTATTCTTCTTGCGCCCTTTTGCGCCCCACCAGGCGATGGAAGATTATCTCTCCCGTCATTGTTCTCGCTCGTGATGCGCGGTACAGCTTAAACTTGATATACAGAAAGTATTTCTCGGCCAAAGCCTGTCTTCCCCTCCTCCGGTTTTCGTTCTGATAAACTTTCCATTGTTTGTACAAAATTGATGTATTCTTCTCGCGTCGCGATCTATTCTTCTCGCGCCGTTTTGCGTCGTAACGGGCGGGGTATTACCTTTCCAATCATTGTGGCGAAGCTTTGCGATGTACATTACTACAGCACAGCATGAACTTCTCTGGTGGGATCGTCTTTGTTTTGGGGGGCAATCAACACACTCGTTCATCTTGATCAGAATACATTATGATTTATTTTTGTTGGGTTTAATACGCCTCCTTTTAATTTTTGTGACGACTGTATGAAATGTGAAATAAAGATGACTATGTACGATTAATGGTTGTTTAATTGCGAGCTTAATTGTCCCCAACAACAAAAAATAAAAGACGAATGATGTGAATGACTACGTCTACATGTATGCGGTTATAGTCGGCAAATTGATTACTGTTTGGGTCGCTTGTGTATGTTTGTAATCTGAATGATTATCAACATATTTGTATAATTCCCACATCGCGATATGATTCTAGCATCGTATAATGGACAAAGGAATTATCTTTCTCTCCCGTCATTCATATTCACGCTACGCGTTGCACATCGCCACAGCCTGAGCTTGGAAGAATTTATATTTTGTCAGTCAAATCCTTTTTTTTCTCCTCCCATGACTTGGTTCTAATAAATTGAAGGTTTGCTTATTAGGGATAAGAAGGATAACATCAAACAAACGATTTACTCAAGATGACGCTCTTTTCATTTCACCTCGCTGTTTGATAAAGTAGAGTTTTACGGAGCGAATACAAAAGAAAAGTTCGCTTTAAGGCCAAATAAAAAAATGTTTTATTAGTGTCCTGTTTTTTCGAAAACTAGGAAGGAGGAGGCCCTCTCTTTTCTTTTTTTTTCTTTCAAAATGGCCGCTAAAAATGGCCGCTCGGTACATTTTCCTGACAGTCGGGCTAGTTTTCAAAATGGCCGCCGACATCTTTTAATTTTTAAAAAAAAATCAGTAATAGATACATTTTAGTATTGTTTTTCATGTTTTATTTTTCAAAAATTATTTAAAAAAAAAAATTAAAACAATTTCCCCCAAAAATAAAAAATAGGAGGCGGCCCCCAAAAAGAAGCAGCCGGGACGCTTAACATGAATATTTTGTTAAGTGGCCTCAGGGAAAAAAAAAAACATCAAATGCCGTGGCAGGATTTCACGCCCGAGATTTGCCTTCGAAAATTGCCCGTCCAAAAGGCGTTTTAAATCATAATAATTCCATAGCTCTTTTTAAAAGTGGAATAAATAGACAAAAGAGTCCGGGAACTATATCGAGATTATAAAACATGTTTGTCATGAAGATGTAAACAAAAAAGCGAAGCCTGATGGTGATAAAGTTGAGCAGCAATTGGAAATGCAATACAAAACATTAATCAGTTCATGATGATAATTAATCATTCGACACAAATACAAACATTGATTTCTGCTCTAACATTCGAATCATTTATTCGTACATTTGTATAATTAAGTGGCGAAAGTGAAATTTTGAAATCTTAATGCACAGATACAAAAAACATACCAAACATGTTTTGATTCTCATTCAAAAAAAAAAAAAAACCGGCAAATTTTAAAAGATCTTTTTAAAAGGAGGGAGGCGCTATAGCCCAGTGGTAGAGCAGAGCAGCTCGTAACCGGGAGCTCCCTGGTTAGAAACCAAGTCGATATGCTATTGTAAGGCATAACTCAACATTACATTTCGTTCGGAGAGGATCTTAAACCCGCCGGTCCCCTGTTTGCGTAATTCAGAGCATACACATGCTTCATATAGCAGTCAGGAAGAAAAAAAAGCGAACGGTACAGGAAGCTACCTTTTATGGATATGCCTAAATTGAAGGTTTGGCTTAACTAGGGAGAAGAAGGATAACATCAAACAATAGATCTACTCATGATGACGCTCTTTTCATTTCACCTCGCTGTAAGATAAAGTAGAGTTCTATGGAGCGAATACAAAAGAAAAGTTCGCTCTAAAGGTAAAAACATAGAATGCCGTGGCAGGATTTCACGCGGCCGAGCAAGACTATTGTTTGATCGCTATAATTGTCCGACTTGCTATAGATTCTTGTTTAGCTACACATTAAGGTTGCGTATTATGTGTGTGTGTGAGGGAGGGGGGCGGCGAAGTGAACGGCCGGACCAAAATGGCAGAGGTCAATCACGAGGGCTCCGCTCGCTAGTTATAAGGACCGCTATTCATTGGACAACTATTCATGAAGACCGCTATTCGTAATTTGAGAACATGGTCATTATGTATAAGGGTCATGAATTCGTAATACGACATCCCCCCTCCCCAAAACTAAATAAATAAATAGAAAACATGAATAGATTAATAAACTTAACTAATGATACAATAACAAATAATGCCCGGTGATTGGGAATAGCCGCCTATGAGCGGAACAATGGGCGCAACAACTATTAGCTGCTCAAAGAGCTGTCTTTTGTCATTGCGTTGCAAAAACAAAGTGCTTTTAAAAGTTACATGTACTATAATATCCGTATGCTATATAACACCCAATGTGAACATGACGTGTTCAGGCCTTATAACTATATACAGTGCACGTTAAAACAAAAGACTTTACTAGCGCTAGCTAACAAATATGAAACGTCAAAACGTCAGGAACATTGAAGATAACAAATTGTTAAGACAAATGACACCACCAATAAAGTTTCTTCGCGAAGAAATATTCGATCGAATTTCATGTTTGGAACAGATAGGCGATTTCGAATTGTTCCATCTACCGAAACGTTTTGATGATGCAGGCTCCCGACAATACGACTATCATTTTTGTAATATCTTTAATTTGCAGATGTTTGTTTGTTTTGTATGACATATTTATAAACGCCCTATAATCTTATTTCAAGCAGAATCTTTCAATCTCTTTGATTATAAGTATCATTTTTAAATCACGGGTATTTAAATACAATAGCTGATTTTGCGAAGATT